AATCCTTTTATTTACAAACCAGGTGCAATACTTTTCCAGGTTTTGGCTTATCAGTTTTGTATAAATTAAAATAGATATATGCGAGAAGCCTAACATGGGTTGGTTTATGCAGAGTGTGGGGAAACTGAAAAAAAATTTTGCTCTGATTTGTGTGCTAGATTATCATACTGTATGAATTGATCGACATACTAATGTTTCAAACAGTTTCTAAACTCAAAGCTATTCTGTTTGGTAATCAAACAATTTATTTACAAAACATGATATAAAATAGGGTGTCTAGTAGTTGTTGGTAATTCAATCCAGATCAGTTAATCCCACTAAAGTGCATATTTTTCACCAATGCTTTCTTATTGATGACTCGGATTACTGTATATTTGATTGCAATGAAGATCCTGTTATGAAATATTATATGGTATTGTATTTGCAATCCAAATAAATATGTTTGTATGATATTTAATATGATAGTAAGTTATGTATAGATATGGATCAACTTAATTGTCATTCATTGTCCTCTATATTAATGAGTATGACTTTCCGGTATATATTATACACTCAGATATCGATCGGACAAAAAACACCGGTATTTCCCAGAGGTTAGGAAATTCCTAACACTATTAGTAACAGTCGGTTAGCCCTCCCTTTTCCCTCTACAGACATATTTACACAAAAACACCATTAAATAGAGAAGTGAGAGATAAGGTGACAGTGTTTTGCATTCACACCAAAACACCTTTGCTCTCAACGTTACATCACATGAAGGAAAACCCCTTTTCAGAGCTCTAGTACTACACACACACACTCCCTCTATATTATAATACCTGTGCACAGTTGTTATATTCTAATACCTGTGCACAGTTGTCATTCACTGAACGCTATTCTACAGCAATCATCATTGCAATCAAAACTAACACTCATTGTATTAATTAAATAATTATTTTGAGTCATTTTATTTAAAAGAGTAATGAAATATTTTATACAAATGAGTTGAAAACAGTTTTTTCAATTTATAAGTTAATTTAACAATCAATTTCTATAGAAATTATTCATTTCAAATTAATGACATGTACTTATTTTTATCTTAACTCATAATAAACTGCGAAAAACTTGTCATTTTGTTAATCGAAATAAATTATAGTAAACTCCTTATCCATTACGAGACCCGTTATGATTGTGTGTGAAAAGGGAAATGGATGTGACATTTAAATTAGCGAATAACTTGTAAAACAAAATAACAAATCAATGAAAACAATGGACTACCGATTCGTATCTTTAATTTAAAAAATGCTAAATTATTATTCAATTTAATATACACTTTCGCATTGGATTTTGGAAATAATTTGCTGATTGTATGTAAATTAAAAACTCGTTTTCGCTGTCATTAAAACGCGAATGAAAACATTGAAAACATTTTTACAATTTATATCATTTATTATTTGATCGCAAATTGTTTTGAAGCGCTAATCGTTTCTCTTATAAACACAATACCAATACTAGGAGTGATATGAAGATTGGGTGGCGTTCTGTCCCTTCCATTCCTCCACATTCTTGATCTGTTGGGTCGCGAAGATTATTCTGTCAAACCATCGACACATGCATTACATTCACTGCTTCACTAATGGCTGTCATCGAGACATACCTCTGCTCCTGAAGTGTGGACTGAATTTCGGTGAGTCTGACCAGAGAGCGGGCCATTTTGAGTTCGGCAGACACCCGGGTGCATTGGTGGCACCCGTAGTCCAGCGATTGGTTTGAATAGGATTTCGCCTTCAAAGCAATGCATCAATACGTTAATAGTGTACAACAGGACAGTAGTGTACAATAGTGTACAACAGGACAGTAGTGTACAATAGTGTACAATAGTGGCCATGTATTCAACAATCACTCGCAAATGTGGGCAACTATTGCATCAGTAAACACAGGACAGACAGGTCTGGTGTTTACAAACAAAGCCATGTTTTTATGACATTTGCAGCGATTGTTCATCAAATGGATGCAAAGGGGAAAGGGATGGAGACGTACCTGTTTCTCGGCGTGTTCTGCCTGCCAACCGGTCACGTGACTCACTAACTCTTCCTTATAAAAGTTGGCTAAAGAGGGGGTGAGGGCCGGCACTGAAGGCACTGATGGCTTCAGAGACGCCGAACTGATGGCCGACGAGATGTTGGCGACACTGTTGGGCGGACTGTCGTGTCTGGTGGAGGAGATGCCACTCTTCTCACTGTTGGGCGACTTATTAATATTGCCGCGACTTATCAGTAGATCTAATTCCTGGCGAATGCCATCTGCGCTCTGGTGTTGAGTTTGATTGTAATGAGAGTGATGTTGATTCGAGTGGTGTTGGATGTGGTGGTGGTGATGGTGTCGGTGATGATGGCCTCCCGAGTGGGCGCCTGATGTAGAGACGGGTGACTCACTAGTGGGCGCACCGGCGGCAGCACTACTGCGCGGCGAACTCAGCGTCCGGTGACGCGACGACTGTCCGCTTTGACTGGTCTTCGGGGGTTCGGTGGCCTTAACGGACATCTGTAAGGCCTGTTGCAGAGCCCTTAAGGCCTCTTCAGACACGAGCGACAGTTCCGCCAACCCTTGCGACCCAACCAACAGTTTCTGCAGGTTTTGCGTTTGTGTCGGAGATAAGGGTTGAGATAATATCTGATTTAACAACTGCTGAACACATCCCGAGCTGTTGTTAAACTGATCTGGATTGAATTACCAACAACTACTAGACACCCTATTTTATATCATGTTTTGTAAATAAATTGTTTGATTACCAAACAGAATAGCTTTGAGTTTAGAAACTGTTTGAAACATTAGTATGTGGATCAATTCATACAGTATGATAATACTGTAGTCAATACAGTAATATGTAAAACTGATTGATTGTCTACTTTGTACAGTACAGTCCAGTGTTAGTCTTAAGGATAAGTTATCCTGGATACATTTTTATTTGTTTAGCCCAAATGAGAATAACTTAATAGAATAATAATTGACACAAATCTGCTGTACATGTAATGGTATACTGTATGTCAAGAATCAATTGGTATAGTTTTGGCAGATATTTGTTAAGAAGTTTCATGTGAACTCCAAATTATTTGAAAGGGTTCAAAGTTTTAACTTAAGTGTCTTAAGACCAATACATTGATTGAATATAATGAACACATGTCACGCCATTAAGTCTTCACTACATATACAATAATATATTAAATTTAAAATATATTAAAATAAATATAAACAAATTTGAGTGCATTATCTGTTTATAATAGACTATTATTAATAGTCATATAATTGCAGTCCTGACAGACAATGTGAAATATGCACACAATTCACATGTGGGCCCACTTTGGCACAGAATGCATTGATTCGCATTGCACTACAGTGTATACTTGGGCACAGGTATGCTTATTAAATAGACTTACATTTCTATAATATGATTATACAGGTAAATTACCTGTGGTATTTCAAACTTCAATCTACTTAAAATGGTGCAATTATTCTGTATCATTTCAACTTATTCTCACTTTATAATTCAAGTCAATATTACATAATTCAATTCTTAACACTGTGCTTGGTGAACTTTATGAAAAATACTTTCTATCGGTATTATAGTACTGTTATGATGTGTACACAAAACTATTAAGATATTCATTGTATTGATTAAACTTACAGTTGTATAGTCTATGAGTAAGTTTTCATAGTTAAAGCATTTTGTCAAACATCATATTGTTCACAATGAATCAATCACTGTATTCATAGCAATGTATAGGTATTCATATGAATACATATTAACAGGTATTGAGTGCTTATTATACAACCTATGGGTCGATAACAGAGTTCAACGAATTGTCTCAATACAGGCATACAGTGTATTACAGTCACACATTTGGCTCAATATATGAATTGTGGCCAAATTTGAGCACTGGTCGCACACCACACCACCAGACCATTAGGCCTGTGATGACAGTGTGTGTCGGAGTGTATGCCCTCACTGTTAGGCCAACCCATCCCATGGCAGACCAGAGCAGACGAGAGCTAATTATTTGACAGACAATAATGCATACAATAAGCCATACATTCACTGCACACCACATACACGTTCGCATGCACTGCACACACACTCACACATACGGTGCCCATGAAATGTGTGTCCATATGACTCAATGAAAGTCCAGATATGGATCGTAGCACTAATATCGGCACTAATTGTCTCAACAACACAATCAACACAAAGACTGCAATACTGAGAGACGACTGTATGTGAGGTATAGTCTGCGCCACAGTTCAGACTCCAAGTCAGACATCCAGTTCTTAGGGTCACGTGATGTCTGCGAATCGAGACATACGCCAGAAATGAGTGAAACAAAGAAGGCTTCTCGCATATATCTATTTTAATTTATACAAAACTGATAAGCCAAAACCTGGAAAAGTATTGCACCTGGTTTGTAAATAAAAGGATTAAATGTAGATAAGAGGCCTAACATGGGTTGGTTTATGCAGAGTGTGGGGAAACTGGAAAAAAATTTTCCTCTAATTTGTGTGCTAGATGATAATACTGTAGTCAATACAGTAATATGTAAAACTGATTGATTGTCTACTTTGTACAGTACAGTCCAGTCTTAGTCTTAAGGATAACTTTAACATTTGGTTACAAAGGGGTTAGGGATAGCCACGGCTCAACTATTTTAAGAGCCGTTTTTGGAAACTTTTTTTTTTGAGTATAATTGTAGTATTATAAATTATTTTGTAGTTTACATTTTTATTTGTTTAGCCCAAATGAGAATAACTTAATAGAATAATAATTTACACAAATCTGCTGTACATGTAATAGTATACTGTATGTCAACAATCAATACATATAGTTTTGGCAGATATTTGTTGAAAAGTTTGATGTGAACTCCAAATTATTTTAAAGGGTTAAAACTTTTAACTTAAGAGTCTTAAGACCAATACATTGATTGAATATAATGAACACATGTCACGCCATTAAGTCTTCACTGAATATACAATAATATATTAAATTTAAAATATACAATAATATATAAACAAATTTGAGTGCATTATCTGTTTATAATAGTCATATAATTGCAGTCCTGACAGACAATGTGAAATATGCACACAATTCACATGTGGGCCCACTTTGGCACAGAATGCATTGATTCGCATTGCACTACAGTGTATACTTGGGCACAGGTATGTTTATTAAATAGACTTACATTTCTATAATGTTTCATAATATGGTTATACAGGTAAATTATTTTTGGTATTTCAAACTTCAATCTAATTAGGTGCAATTACCCTGTATCATTTCAACTTATTCTCACTTTATAATTCAAGTCAATATTACATAATTCAATTCTTAACACTGTGCTTGGTGAACTTTATGACAAATACTTTCTATCGGTATTATAGTACTGTTATGATGTGTACACAAAACTATTAAGATATTGATTGTATTGATTAAACTTACAGTTGCATAGTCTATGAGTAGGTTTTCATAGTTTAAGCATTTTGTCAAACATTCATATGAATCAATGAATCAATCGCTGTATTCATAGCAATGTATAGGTATTCATATGAATACATATTAACAGGTATTTCATGCTTATTATACAACCTATGGGTCGATAACAGAGTTCAACGAATTGTCTCAATACAGGCATACAGTGACACATTTGGCTCAACAAAAAGGGCTCAACATATGAATTGTGGCCAAATTTGAGCACTGGTCGACACCACACCACCACACCATTAGGCCTGTGATGACAGTGTGTGTCGGTGTGTATGCCCTCACTGTTAGGCCAACCCATCCTATGGCAGACCCTCTCAGACGAGAGCTAATTATTTGACAGACAATAATGCATACAATAAGCCATACATTCACTGCACACCACATACACGTTCACATGCATTGCACACACACTCACACATACAGGTGCCCATCAAATGTGTGTCCATATGACTCAATGAATGTCCACATATGGATCGTAGCACTAATATCGGCACTAATTGTCTCAACAACACAATCAACACAAAGACTGCAGTACTGAGAGACGACTGTATGTGAGGTATAGTCTGCGCCACAGTTCAGACTCCAAGTCAGACATCCAGTTCTTAGGGTCACGTGATGTCTGCGAATCGAGACATACGCCAGAAATGAGTGAAACAAAGACATAAATAACGCCATAAATGGTGTCATATATTATATATAATGCGTGTGCGAGTGGTGTGAGGGGACAGTAGGGGGCAGTTGGGGGACAGGGAGTGAGTGCGAGAATTGATGGTCGGTTCGAGCACTCTCATCGCCATTACATTGCATTCAGTGATACACTGATAGACTGTGAGACTGAGGACTGGTCTCACATCCAATGCATTGTTTGAGTGATATTTTGGTGGATATGTTGTGATTAGTATCCAATTCATTGATTGTTTAGACAATTAAAGACATACGGAATGAGTGTCGAGTGATGGCTACTGTGGTAATGGGCGCGAAATGTTGGTCAGCGATGTTGTCGGTGGTGGTGATGATGGCTGTGGTGATGATGGCTGTGGTGACTCCGGCGTGTGGTCTTCGGTGTCACTGCGATATCTGTCCGCAAGAGATGAACCACACGTGCGAAACGGACGGCCTGTGCTTCGCATCGACATCGGTGGACGACAAGGAGCAGGTGATCCACTCGTACAGGTGTGTCCACAAGCGGGATCTGTTCCCTCCCGAGAACCCCATCATATGCCAGCACTCGGACTCATTGCTGTCGAAGTTTGTGATCAAATGCTGTTCAGACAGCGATTACTGCAATGCAGGCCTCAGACCCACTCTCTCGCCGCCCCTCAGCACTGGTAAGCCTTTCCAACACATCTATTAACACAAGTATTTCTCTTCCTTCCTATCAATCGCTGACAACCATTACAACCATTGATTCAATTGATTGAATGGCTATTGAAATGACAATGAATTGAAACACAAAAACACGAACTCTTGTCTCACATCACATACTGTCAGATGTCTGGATAAAGACAAGATGTTCCCCCCCGAGAACCCCCTTTGGTGTAAATCACAAATCTATGTCTCAAACTCTGTCCACGACTGCTGCCAACACTCAGACTTTTGTAATAAACACCTGCGACCGACTCTGCCATCGCTGAACCAGTCATCCACAGGTGGGTCACCATTCATACATCAATACATCCATCCATACATACACACCATCTACCCTACAATTGCTATCATTTACGATATACTCTATAGCTGTATTGATTACCATTACCATACGATCAGTCATAAGCAAACCCAGTGGTCATCGAGTCATACAATGTCTGTCCCGTCAGCAACACCACCACTTGTCGTGTACCTGTCGTGTAGTCCCGAATGCCTTACTAATTGTCGCTAACATATCATATCATAAATGCATTGCATGACTGTGTGCCTCATTATAATCATTGACATCTGTTCATCACTATTAGCCCATAACTAACAGTCAATACACATCTAATGCCATTACTTTCCATATCAATACTAACCCTTTACTAAACAATTAACGATTAGTGCCTTATTTATTGATATCATTTGATGAGTGCAATGACTGAAACTGATCTCATATTTGGCTGAATTTCAATATAATTTCCATTCTATTAGTTACCCATTGAAAGACTAATTGGTATTTACTTTTAAGTTTATAAATAACTCGTTATTTGCCGAAATATGTTTCATGTAAGCCTTCACTAAACTGTTTGATAGTAAAGCACTTGTTTTGTCTGACAAAAGCCAACAAATCTAAAGCGTTTACAAATCAATTAAAACTTTTGAATGAATGAAAATCTCTGAAACACTCCTTTATTTCCAAAATGAATGCTAAAATAAATTTGAATTTTAGAAAAACACTAGAATTTGAATGTTTTTCGATATGAGTTACAAATTTGAGAGCATATATGACTACTAAACTATAGATAATATTTGCGATTAAGACACACAAAAGGGTTAAATTACTGTTTTAGGTAATATTACAGTTACACTGAACCATTAAGACATCAAATATCATAATAAGTGTGGAGATTGTGTTGAAAACTGAAGATTTTTGAATTGCGCCAAAAGGGGACCGGCGGGTGTGATGTGTTGTATTGGAGTTCAGGTATCAATGATTAACCATAAGCTCACACTCTATTCGCAAGCCTTCGCTCATTAATGTTAACCCATAATGTGTTTCAATTCTATACGAAACGGGTGTTTATATTTAACTTTCATTGCTTTTTGCCGTTTTTCACTATAAATGCCATACATTTTGTTTACCGTAAACTGAAAACACTCATCATTTTCCGTGCTTTACTTATGCCTGAATTGCAATCATTAGTTTGTAAATTATAATTTATGTTAGTTTTTAAGTTACTGTTATTGTTTGATGTGTGGATAATATGATTAAAATGTGTGGATATGTTTAGAAGTATCTGAATCGGGAAGTCTGGGCACAATACAGACGGCACTGATAATCGCATCGCCAATATGTCTGATATGTTTCATATTTATGATCGCGTTTACCATTTGGCAACGCAGACAAATCAGACATCCCTACCCTCACGATGTCGAGGGCAGTATAGCCAGTAGAGACCCTTTGATTCCAGTGCAACTCAATGGACAGACACTCAAGGATCTCTTAGATCACACCACTTCCGGCTCAGGATCAGGTCTGTGCTCATCGCTATTCCTTATACTCATTTGTCACTAACACTCGTGTGCTATGTCTCAGGCCTACCACTTCTGGTACAGAGAAGTATTGCCCGACAAATACAGTTGATTGAGATCATAGGGAAGGGAAGGTTCGGTGAAGTATGGAAAGGCAAGTGGAGGGGAGAGGGGGTGGCCGTCAAGATATTCTCGTCGCGCGACGAGCGCTCGTGGTTTAGGGAAGTGGAGATCTATCAGACCGTTATGTTGAGGAACGAGAATATTCTCGGATTCATTGCCGCGGATAATAAAGGTATGCATTAGAGTGTGACCATTGATTGGTTCATTGAATGGTTGCTCACATGTGATATAATTGATTGGGTGGACAGACAACGGGACGTGGACTCAGCTGTGGCTGATCACTGACTACCACGAGAACGGGTCTCTGTTTGACTACTTGAGCAAAATGACTGTCGACACGGCGGGGATGTGCAAAATGGCGTCATCCATAGCCAATGGGTTGGCTCACCTGCATATGGAGATATGCGGCACTCAGGGCAAGCCGGCCATCGCGCACAGGGATTTGAAGTCCAAAAATATTCTGGTCAAGTCTAACGGCACGTGTGCTATCGCCGACTTGGGGCTCGCAGTGCGCTTCGACTCGTCCACCAATTCAGTGGACATTCCTCCCAATCCCAGAGTGGGAACCAAACGATACTTAGCGCCAGAAGTATTGGACGAAACGATTAACTTAAATCATTTTGATTCGTTCAAAAGGGCCGACATTTATTCGTTCGGTTTGTGTATTTGGGAGATCGCCCGGCGCTGTAATGTCGGAGGTATGTCCCCATTGCTGTCATACCCATACATGTATTGACTTATGGTTTGTGTGTAATAGGAATCTATGAAGAATATCAGTTACCCTTCTATGATATGGTTCCCTCGGACCCCACCATTGAGGAGATGCGGAAAGTAGTCTGCGGTGACCGACAACGACCTCAGATCCCCAACCGGTGGCAGTCATGCGAAGTATGAGTTGTTTGCGTGAATGCGTTGTTTGTGATGATTAATGTGAATTGTTATCTGTATGGTGTGCTATAGGCGCTGCGAATAATGTCCAAGATCATGAAGGAGTGCTGGTACCACAACGCCGCCGCCAGACTAACGGCGCTTAGGATTAAGAAAACGATCGCCAATTTGGGCGCTCAGGAGGACCTCAAGATTTGAGCCATCATTTTAGACGCCATTCAAACCCATATCCCATTAAGTAATGAATTATATGTTATAAAACGGACACAAAAGTGATTTCTCTGTGTTCTGACGTTCGCTGTCATTAAACCGTCGTTTCATTCGTTTGATTCTGTGGACAGGCCTTCAATATGATGGCGAAGAATATGATTTAATCCATAATTTTAATTAAACCCTATTTTAAGGTCAACTCAATTAGTAGACAATATTTTGCATAATTTTAAAGTTCAAAGTTTTTATGTTTTTTGGCACTTTTTTCTTGTTTTCAAAACAAGTCAATACTTTGTCGTCATATTTATCTTTATATCAAAACAAACGAATCATTTGATGTGACGAATGATATACAGTATATTATGTAAGAAATTATAAATTATATATAATTTAAATATAAATAAAAAATCCCTGATATTTCATACAATAAGTCTCAATGTAAATGTCAAAAACTTTCACATTTTAAAAGCTAAACAATTGTTAAATCTGTTGATTTAATGTCTTTTACAGTTTTAAATTAATTTTTATTACAATTCATATGTAAATCGATTCATAGATTCAAAACAGACTGTTATATTTATAAATGTAATCAAATTAACGCTTTTTAGAAAATTTTTCTAAAATCAAGACAAAAGACGTTTTCAAATTATATTAATATTTATTTAGAACTTTATATCGATATATAAATATTGCTTTTGTGATGGAAAGACTGCATTCATTCATTTGATTGATATTAAAAAACTGAAAAATACATTATAAAAAATTCGACAAATAAGTAATGTTTCGAAATATTAGTCTAATGTGACAGACGTTTAAATATGACCGCACTTTTGAAACCCACAAATAAAACCCATATTAATAGACACTCGATTGGAACCGTTGACGAGACAATGTTGTAATCATTAACCTTAATGTCCCTTAAAGTGCTTAAGCCTTTAAACACATCATTGGTTAGTCATAGAGGGAGGAGGGGATGGTATGGTATGAAAAGGCACTTAACAATCAGATACAGTATATCACAACAATTGACAAAATTATTTAATAAACGCCTCAAGAATTAAAAAAAATTAAGTTTTATGAATATCTATGGATACGAATGGGTATTATAACTCGTCGTGTTTGGGTCCACTGAACTCCTCGTGCGAAATGAAGCCATTCTTGTCCTGATCCTCGTGTTGGAAGATCTCTTCGACGAGTTTGTCCTGATCTGGAAGATCCTTCACTCCTGCTTTCGCCGCTTCCGGCATTTGCTTCTTCAGGTATGAGCTCACCTGAAGACACGAAGGCATCATCAATGAGATCAATGAGACAATCAATGAGATCAATGAGACAATCAATGAGACAATCAATGAGACAACACGTGAGACAATGGTCTCAATGAATGGCAACAACGCATACCTCTTCGCGCGACAGCTGGTTGTCATCGTTGGCGTCGATCTCGGCGAAGACATTGACAGGAGTGGGTCCGTCTTCGACGGCAATGCACTCCACTTCGAACACAAGTGTGGCCTTCGGTGGGATGCGGTCGCCGGCGCCGGCGTCTCCGTAGGCCAGGTGTGAGGGGATCGTCAGCTTTCGCTTCTCCGTGGGGCACATGTCGAGCAATCCCTGGTCCCACCCTTTGATAACTTGTCCGATGCCTAACTGAAACTTAAACGGTTCCGAACGGGAATAGCTGTGGCCGAAGACAATGCATTGATTCATATACTCTGAACAGACAATTGACACAATGACTGGCCATACCTGGAGTCAAACTCCTTGCCGTCCTCAGTGGTGCCCCTGTAGTGCATTGACAACATATCACCTTTCGATGACTTACGGCTGCAGTCATCCGGTTTGGACACCACTTCCACGACGAGTTCTCCAAACGACTCGTCATCACAAATGGCATGAGATATGAGACAAAAGAGGACACAAATTATGAATGATTTCATGTTTGGTTTATATTATGAATGAAACAAATGCTAAATAAACTAAATATAAGACTAATTAACTCGACGTAAGTTAAGTCCACGTGTGCTCTCAATTGTAACTCAATTGTGAATACAGTGTTAAATGCAGTGCAATGTTGTCCACACACTCTCGCACTGCCAAACCTGTTGTCAAACTATACGCTATCAATGAATGGCTCCCCTATTGCTCACAGCTGTTGGCAATGTTGTCATCTCTCACGTTATGCTCACATATTACGTAACAATTCACATATAATTGTAAATAAATTTTACATTCAATTTGAATGAAGGGTTCCGTGAAAATGAATTATTGCAACCAATATATACGAGTGCATAGTCTACACATTTGAATGAACTCAACGCATACAGAAACATTGCATCATCATTGGCTTATAATAAAGGGGATCAGTGCTTAGAAATAATACATAAATACTGTAATAAAAACACAATGTTGTTACAGTTCAGTTGTATGCAAACTGTTTTTATCATTATTTTTACACTCTTTATGTGAAACCGTTTTTCGGTACTTTTTATTATAAGCCAATGATGATGCAATGTTTCTGTATGCGTTGAGTTCATTCATTTATCGATATGTGACCAGTGTGCTTTTTAATTAATCTGAGATTTAAATGACTGATTGTGTTATATTGCATAAGTGGTGGCAATAGTGATCTAATCGGTGGTGCATTTGGTGTAATCGCAAGACATGGCAAAGAGTGGTGACAAGAGAGATGTGATAACCTTTGAAAGCATTCAAGTGTTGTCTGCAAATGAATCCCAATTCATAAAACCCCACAGAATTCACTACAAATTGGTATTAATATCATG